TAGATAGATAGATAGATAGATAGATAGATAGATAGATAGATAGATAGATAGATAGATAGATAGATAGATAGATAGATAGATAGATAGATAGATATACATACATACATAATATGTATATATACATATATATCTACAATTCTCTGCAGGTATGGAAACAGCACCAAGCAGTATAAAGTTAGAGTGGGAGATTACCACTCCCTCGTCCCTGAGGAATATGAAGAGGAGTATGGTGTCGATCAAATTGTGCTCCATCCAAGCTACCACACCCATAGCAATGATTACGACCTGGCCCTGGTTCATCTGTCACAGGGGGCAGTGGACAAGATGCCGGGAGAGTGTGTGTCATTCAGCCGTCATGTCCTTCCCGCCTGCCTGCCCATGAGGAAAGAGCGAGTGCTCAAACAAGCCAGCAACTGTCACATTACCGGCTGGGGCGACACAGGTGAGGGTGTGTATGTGTATTTGAGTGTTGAGTGGATAAACTGGGGTGCATAACCTGAAGTCACAAAACATTATGCAACGTTATGCAAAATACCCATTAATCTTCATTCATAAATCTTTAACGCCACAGGGCCACAGTATTGTAGTGATTCCAAGAGGTCAAATGCACTGCAACTTAAAATAACACCAGCAAATACAAAAACGCTGCAACAGCACACAAAACACAACAGAAGTTGAATAAATCGCAATAGTAGAAAAAAAATCTCTTAAACCACAACAGGGTTTTTCTGGGGAGGCGATATTATGATGGACCAGCTGCAGAAGTGACAAAAACCAAATGATGAGATTTTCAGACCAAGTTTGAAACACTCAAAAAAGCGGAGGATTCATCTGTGGGAGATATGAGGGAGGAAAAGAAGGCCAACATAGATTTCACAAGAATCTCACATTTGCACGTTTTCAGTTCCATGTTAATTGTTAACTGAAAATAGTTTGTCACAATTACTTCTGCTGTCAAAAAACGTATTTAAAAACTAACAGAGACCTCCAGATGCCCCTCAGTGTTAAAAAAAAAACCCTCAGCAGTAAGGCGATAAAGGGAAACAAGTGCACCCAAAGGGTTGTTTCTGTATTCAGTTAAGGGTGATTCTCCAAAGAGCAGAAAAATTCTATTCTCAATTGAATGTGTTTTTAAAGGTCACCCGCAAAGCCAGATGAAGTAAAGACGAGTCCGTCATCAGTGCTGTAAATTGTACTTGTTTGACTTCATTTTCTGTCTCTGTCCATACACCTGACCATATGCGCACATGCACATCTGTTAGTGATCTTTAAATTACACGCTGATGTCATTAATCACAGTGAGTCAAAAGAACACAGGACACGGTCAAGCTGGAACACACACTCCCTAAGATCCGAGCGTGTTTCACACATGGATTCTAAGTAGTGGACTGTACATGTGATAGAACATTGATGTTTGTGGAAAAGAGCGTTTTTATTAGCTTATTTAAGTGAGGCAATGCAGGCTATTCAGAGGGTGTGAGGACATGTGTGCTCAGTACAGCTGTTAGTGCCCCTCTGATATCACACACGCAAGCAAATTTTACACGTCTGCCATCCTAAGCTGCCTTGGATAGTTAGCAGTACTATGTGGCATTGGAGAAAGAAACCACTCACAACTCCAGAGCTCTGAGCTGCAGAGCTCGGGGTGGCTGTAGCACAGGTGGTAGAGCAGGTTCATCGGAGTATGAATGTGTGTGAATGTCAGTTAGAAAGCACCTAGGAAAAATGTGCTTGTGCGAATGGGTGTGAATGGGTGAAGCGCTTTGAGTGCTCAGATGAATAGAAAAGAAACACTGCTTCATAACCACAAGGATTAAAGGCTGTCTGGCACTGTGACCTAAATGTTTAAAATCAGCATGCTACCATGTGATAATATTACTCAACGGAGTAAACATTTAACAGCTCAACATCATGTTGAGCCATGCTAACTTTATATTTACGTTTTGCACTAACCACATGCAGTCATGTGTTCTAGGTCATGTTTTGTATCTAAGTTGAGGGATAAACAGAAATTCTTGATGATGGCACTAAATGAGAATTCACTGTGAATGATTGTCATAAACACATCGTTTTTTGTATGTTTGCCTCACTTTCCTTGAAATCCAATCATGATCGCACACACAATCTACCCAAATTTAATCTCACAACCCACACATCATACAGCATGTAGCAGCTGCTGTCAGTCAGAGTTAAATGCTGGATCTGTGTCTGAGAGCCATGAGATGCTGATGTTGCCGAAGATGCAGAAGAAAGTGCAGTTTTTCCTCCTGCTGCCCATTGAAACCTTGTTCTCTTTCTTTGGAGCATAAATTCAGGCGCACCTTTGAAACCTGCCTTTCTCTGCTCTCTCCTTTTCCAGGCCGTTCATACTCCAAGACCTTGCAGCAGGCTCCTCTGTCTCTGTTTCCACGCCGCCATTGCCAGGAGCATTTTCACACAGCCTTCACAAGCCGCATGCTCTGTGCCGGCAGCATCAACTCAGAAAGGCGTGTGGACAGTTGCCGTGGAGACAGTGGAGGTCCATTGGTGTGTGAGCGCCCAGGAGGGGGTTGGGTTGTTTACGGGGTCACATCCTGGGGTCAGGCCTGCAGGACACAGCAGTCCCCTGGTGTCTACACCAAAGTCTCCGCATTTAGCTCCTGGATACGCAAAGTAATTGGACGCGATGAAAAAAAGAAGTAATAAACTGAAAACAACGGTCTAAATCAAGAGGATTCATTTTCAGCCAGCTACTTGCATAAAAGGATATTTCAGTTATGAATACTTAATGTCATTCTTAATAATCCTGTGAGGTATATCACAATCTGACCTTTAGTGACATAAAGACAATGTTGGACTTTATTGTATTTTGTTTTTTGTCAAGGGAAATTATTCTTTAGCACTTATTTTACTAATTTAACATTTTTATGAGGTTTTCATTTCAAATGGTATATTCTGTAAGCTAAGCATCTCTTTGTTTATGTAGCATCACATGCAGCCCTTGATTATTGTTTTTTAAACTGTTTTCTGTGCTCGCTTTCGTTATGAAGTTATACCTTGTAACTTATGTCATGAAATATGCTATTAAAACATTGAAAAGGGACCACTGTGTTAGAACAAGCATACTGTAAATGTGCATGTACTCATGCTGAAACAGTATGTGATAGCACAATATTGCATACTTGCACTACGAAATCCTTTTTGGTACTTAATGCATGACATCTAGTGCTTCTGTGTTAAGTATTTTAGTCATATTGTCAAAGTGAAATATGATTTTTAACCTCATTTCATTCTTGTTTGTGTAACGTTTTTGTGTGATTTCAGGTCTTGGTAATTCTCAGGCTTTTGCAATTGCTATCCAGTCAGTATTTGTCCTTGACTTAGCACTATGTGATGTATGCAGAAAAAGGAAGGGGCGTAAGTCCTTCTGATTTAAAGCACAAGCATTTTTGAAGTGTTGATCTATCACAGTGACTCAAAGGTCTTGGTCAGATAATTGAGGGTTGTCATGCTTCTAACAACAGTGAAAGGAGACAATCTGTTACACTTGAAAAAAGAAAAAAACACCCACTGCCTCCTTATTGTTAAATGATAAATGACCATGTTTTTTGTCTCAACATTTCTGGGTAAGCACAAATTTTGATAAAAATTTATATTAAAAAAAAATCTGAGTTTGTGTTTTTAATTTAGATGCCAACATATGTGCAGTGTTCATATTTTATTTTTGAAGTAAAAAAAAACCCCAACGCATTCACTTGTACATTTTATACGACATGTCCTGTCTTTCCACCACATCTAATAGGTCACAGCTGCTGGAACAACAGAGCTCCTTCAGGGTTGTTTTGTTTTTACTGCAAAGTGTCAAAGCAAGCATCCCCTTGTCAGATGATGTGTATGCACACCCAATGGAAAACAATGCCACTGGTATGTCGCAAAGTGTTTGCGGGAACTGTAGCCGGTACTCCTGATTTATGAGAAAAGGTGTACAAGTTGCTGTGAATGCAAAACCAGCATTTCATGTTTCTTTATGTTCTACAAAATGTATTAAAAGGTTACTTGAGGTTACTCAAGTACTCATCATACTTTTTCAGCATGAGTAAATGCAACTTTGCTTTCACATGAGACAGCATACACTATCAAACTGTAGTGGTGGGGTTTTGGTTTTTATATCTAATCCTGCTTTCTCATGTATCCAGAAGTATACGCCTCCCTCACGAATTAGTATCTCGACAGATTCCTACTTTCAACATACAACAAGAACACTCGTATTTTAAAATAAAAAAAAAAATTGGCAAAGTTTTGGCAAATTTTTAAGATCTACAAACAAAGAATACTACACTCCTGTAAGTTCATGCTCACTTCTGTGCCTAAAGGCACATTGCAAGAAATGGTAAAATATACTTAATTTATCCCAAAAGATTGGGATTAAACGTTAACATTATTTTAAATTTGCTGTCACCTGTTGATCAGCAGGGAAAGAGGTGCAGTTTTCAGAGCTCTAAGTCTGACAGCCCCCTCTTGTGGTCATTATTTGACATTGCAAAGTTATAAAACTAGTCTTGTGTTGAATTTGGAAATGCTTTAATTCTTCATGTCAAGATGCTGAAAAACATTCCTCAGTGTTTTGGTCCATATTGACATGGTCAAGCATCACAGAGTTGCTGCAGATTTGTTGGCTGCACATTCATGATAAGTATCTAATGTTCCACCACATCCCAAATGTGACTATCAAGACCATTTGAGTACAGTGAACTCATTGGCATGTTCAACAAACCAGTTTAAGATCATCTGAGCTTTGTGGCATTGTTGGTTATCCCGCTGGAAGCAGCAATCAGTAGATGTATACACTGTGGTCATACCCCCACATCACCAGCCTGCACCACCAATAGAAGGTAGGATGAATTTATACTTTCTTGTCTGCTCCAAATTCTGACCCTAACGTTGAATGTTGCAGCAGATACCAAGACTCGTTAGATCCTTTTTCCAATTTTCTGTTATCCAAGTGAACCCATATGAACTGTAGCCTCACTTTTCTGTTTTTATCTAGCAAGAGTGGTGTGGTCTTCTGCCATCGTTTCAAGGTTCAACATGTTGATGCTCTTCTGCGTGCCTTACTTGTAAAAATGTTGTTATTTGAGCTGCTACTCAGTAATGACCTCAAGCATCAACTATTACTTCATATTTTCTGAAATATTCTCCGTAAACCTTAGAAATGTTTACTGGGAAAATCCATGCTAATCAGCAGTTTCTGAAATACTTTGACGAGCCTGATCTGGCACCATCAACCATACCATGTTCAAAGTCACTTAAATCCCCCCTCCCCAATTGTGATGCTTGAGTGAAACTTCAGCAGGTTGTCTTGACTTGTTTCCGTGCAAGGATGCATGCCATATTGCCATGTGATTGGCGGCTCTGATGTTTGTTTAAAGGAGCAGCTAAACACTGGTCCCTTATACAGTGGATAATGAGTGTAAACACACACACATTGTAAGAATCAAAGGTTTAAACAGCTCTCAAAATGTCATTCAACAACATTTATGGTTTCGTGGCTTGGATGTTATGGGCTTGGATGATATTCAAGCCCTAACCCCCCCCCCCTTTGCTATTTCATTTATATTTATATTCCACCAAGATACTATGTCACAACTAAAAGTCACTGACTCAAAACTTCCTTCCAAGTGGACTAAAGATTAAGGATTCAGGTCTCTCCTTTAATTTTCATTCATCTGTTATAGCCTGTATATGTTGTATATTAATATTTGCAAAAAACAAAATAATAAAATAAAATCAGTAACATCAAAAGTAAAATATTGATCTCATAACAATAAAAAAATAAAAAGTGTTAGCCAGTATGCAAAGCAGAAAAGTATTGTTGTATTGATTAAATGTTCTCTGATACAATACCAGATGCACTGCATACTTTCATCATGTCATTTTCACTTACCTTAGAAGAGTAGAAACAGCATAGTGTAAGTTCACAAATGTGGCTTCAGGTATGATCCCGCATTTAGGTAATACAATAATATAATACTCGTTAAAAAAATATCAGCTGTCAGTCATATCCATTTCTTTAATTTTGGTTTTTGTGTTTGACATTTAGGGATTTTGCATTCAAACTGAAGCTAAAGAACAGAGGCCACTGCTTTTAAAAAGGAGAAGAAAAAGTCAAGTTGAGACTTAACTGAGACACCGACAAAACAAAAACTGCCTGCAGTTAGCATAGCTACTTTAACTGTCATAGCCACTAGGCTGACTTCCACCCACAAACTTGTATCTCCTCAGAGCTAAAATCATCAGCACTCATTCTTTGCTTAATGGACACAATGTTCCCCTGGATGTCTTGTCACAGTAAAAGAATGAGCAGGCAATTCTTTTTGCTTCAGTGACTCGTGTACAGTCCAAACTTTCCCACTAAAGCCACAAGTGACATCTCTAAGGGTTAACAAAGCTACCAGATCTACCAAAAACTAGCTGTACTTAAAAAAAGAAAGAAAAATCACAAAAAATGAGAACCTAGCATGGAAAGTAACAGTTTTTCTCTCACCCTGAGTCTATGCATGTGTCCTCCTTGCTTTCTTTCTTTCATTAAAACAGAAAACTTAAAAAAAAAAAAAGGTAAAAAGAGACCTCATAGCATGTGTTTTTGTATTGGAGATACATAGAGCAGAACATAGTGCAAACTCACGTCTATGAGAACCACGCACAGCTGACCAGCGCTGTTCTGGCAACATAATTTAAGGTGATAATAAAATAAAAATTATTGATCACTGAATTTACTGCAGGTGTGCACGAGAATTCACCGGAACAGGGTTTGGGCATCAAAGACTTTCCAAATTCTCTTTGTCCCCCACAGTTTGCGTCACTGTTGTCATGTGGTTCTTTCCTTTAGTCCCATTTTTTCAGAGCTGTCTATTCACCTGACAGATTCCTCCACCCACCCATCTACCCATCCATCCAAGAGTTCTGTATCAGCTCACAAAGTTTCTTTGCGCTTTCATTACTTCTGGTCCCTTCAGCAGGGTCACAGCTCTTCGGTGAACCAAGGCGCTCCGTCCTCGCTTTCACCTCAGGGTGCACTAAAAGGCCACAGACAGTGCATCTGAAGGTTAGGTGCTCCTGGTCGCTTTCCTGGTCCCTGACCCCAAGACTTTTAACCATGGCTCATGGATGCAAAGGTTATCTAACCTTCAGGAAGCAGCAAAGAGAGAGGGAGGGGATTCAGAGGGAAATGCAGAGACGAGGGAAAGAAATGGGATAAAGTAATTTAATTGCACTTTGTTGATTTATTGATCTAAATGCTAACCGAGTTAATAGAACGGGAGCATGATGTGAATGCTGTCAGTGGACTAGAAAACTTATGTCATGGGGCTGACTGCCTTTGACTCATAAACCGTGAGAAAATGCAGCACATTCAAGTGTGCCAAAAAAAGAGAACAACAACATTATGAAGCTTCGTGTATCTTCTATGCTTTGAATATCTATTGGATTGATTTGGGTTTTTTTCAGCAGGGCAACGTCACAAATTGTGACACACACTCAGCATTTTTATTGCACTGCATTGTTCATTACCAGGGTGGAAAGTAACAAAGTACAAATACTTTGTTACTGTACTTAAGTGCAATTTTTTGGTATCTGTATTTAACTTGAGAAGTTTTTTTTGTCAACTTATTCCTTTTGCTCCCTACATTTTAAACAAATATCTGTACTTTCAACTCATTACTCATTACTTTTGCTTTAATGCTGTTGGGGGTAGTTATTGTTTTATCACTGCGAGTACTCAAGTACTTTTTTACTTGAGTAAAGAACTTGAATCAGTACTTCAACTTTTAGTAGAGTATTTTTAACAGTAGCATTTATACTTCTACATAAGTACAGAATGTCTGTACTTTTTCCAGCCATCCATGAAAAGAGAATTTATTAAATTTAACAGCGGTAGAAGTTAGCAGGAAGTTAGCTCGCTAGTTTTCACCTAAACATGATATATCATGTTCTGACTGAGGGGTTTCTGAAAAAATTAAAACGTACAGCTCTGCTATCACAAAGAACATAAATGAAGACTAAACTGCAGTGACGCTTTGTAGGGTTACTGAAGTTGGGCTAGCTGGTATACAATGATGTACTACACGATCGCTAGCGACATAGCTATGTTAGCATAACATAATAACAGTGAAGCTGGAGGATGAACACTAACTTTTTTCCACAAGTTAACGTGGAAAAATGAATGAATAGCATGTAGTAAAAACCGAGAGAGGCCGACAGTGATCACTGACTGTTTTTAGGGGCTTGTTGAGATTAAATAGAACAAGATACAAAGCATTAAACCATGTTAAAAACACAACAGCCTTAGTAGTTTAGGCCTGGAAGCAGGTTTCATGTCATCACTTAGAGACCGCATTATAGTGAGCATCTGATAGTTGTTTTAACTACATTCTGCAGGCTATTTTAAATTCAGTTTTGTTTGATCGATATTTAATATTCACAATTATTCAACTTTATTGTATTTATACTGATGCCAGGTTAATTTTTATCTTGTTATTATTATTTTTGGTCATGTTGTGTTCCGTTTTATTGATCTTATTTAAGCTTGTTGTCATATTTGTGTATGCCTTAGGTATAACTGCTGTACTCAAGGTGTTTCCCACCTTTGAGATGAAAAAAGTATGTCTTTTGTTAAACGGGGGTTGTGACAACATTTTCCCCCAAAATATATTACAACTGGTTATATAAGTTTGTGCTGAGTTCTGTCTTGTTGAAATCATTGAAGACTGCTGATTGCTTTCAGCACTATCACCTCTAAACATACTCGAAAGCCATGAGGTAAAACTCATTTTACATGTTGGGGGTAAATTGAAAGAAATGTGTAAAACTGCTCATTGGCAAGACTGCCCTGCAATTATAAACTCAATTACTTTGGTGTTGTATAAATGGGCACGAGGGAAGTTTTTATCAGAAGAAAAGGGTGTAAAACATTTGATAATACATCTGAAAACTCAAAATTTATGCCCTACTTGCCATCCAGTGACCAGATCGGAGTTTTTGCCTTGCTAATTCTGGCCTCCAGAACTTATGTTTGCCTAAAAATTCCCTGTTTAGAACTGGGCTGGTGTGGATATTTATATTCAATATTTACATATTATTCTGACTCGGGTTTATACTCAAGTTTTCGTATCATCATTAAGTTGTAAATGAAGAGCAGAGGACAAACAAAACTGTGACTGGCAGACTAAATGTACAACCATGTTATAACAATTTAGTTTTAGTTTGTTTGATTAACCCCAACATTAACATTTCTGCCAACACAGAGTCCAGTGAACCATTGTCTTGAATAGTTTTCTAAACATGGAAGCTCAATAAAGTTAACCCATTTTAGCCTTGGGCATTTTAAGTGTGCAGTGTTTTCAACTGTAAAATTAAAATTAAATCAATAAAAAAAACTATAAAACTTGAATTGCTGCTGTATATTTCACTGCTCA